GGGGGGAGTTTATCTACCTGCACGAGTCTCAAGAGCTTGTCTATAGAGTCTTGTGATAGTCTGGAGTCGATTCCAAGTCTAGATGGGCTTTCATCGCTTAACATTGTTCAAATTAGTCACTGTGGGTTGAAAAGCATAGAGGGGAGTTTATCTACCTGCACGAGTCTTAACGGCTTGTTTATAAAGTCTTGCGATAGTCTGGAGTCGATTCCAAGTCTAGATGGGCTTTCATCTCTTCACATTGTTCAAATTAGTCACTGTGGGTTGAAAAGCATAGGGGGGAGTTTATCTACCTGCATGAGTCTCCGGATCTTGTCTATAGCGTATTGTGGTAGTTTGGAGTCAGTTCCAAGTCTAGATGGGCTTTCCTCTCTTGAGGAGTTGACCATAAATGGCTCTGATTATGCAGTAGTTTTCAAGAATAGCGTGAAATCTCGTACAATTCAAATTCGACATTGTGGCCAATTGAAAAGCATTGGGGAGAGTTTATCTAACTCCGTGTGTCTGAAGAACTTGTCTATATATTACTGTGATAGTTTGGAGTCGATTCCAAGTCTAGATGGGCTTTCCTCTCTTGAGACTCTAAGTATAGAGAGTTGTGGTGAATTAACAAGTTTGCCGAATGGTCTGTCATCTTGCACTGCTCTTGAGACCTTGAAAATAAGGAACTGCAATAATCTGATCTCTATATCGGAGGATTTGAGGGACTTGCCTTCTCTTGTTAAATTAGAAATTACATACTGTGGAAAACTGAGGAACATCCAAGGCCTAGGGGAGATTCTTGGCTGCCTTACTCGATTGAGGAAGCTGCATTTTGGTGGTTTCTCAGCACAACAAGAGGAGCTAAAGGAATACCCCAACCAACTTGAAGAATTAAGTTTATTTGGAGGGGAAAAACTAGAGAATCTGCCATGTCAAATTCAACACCTAACTGCCCTTAGGGAACTCAGTTTAGAGGATTTCCGTGGAATCGAAGCTTTGCCAGATTGGTTGGAAAACTTATCCTCTCTTCAATCTCTGTATATTATCAACTGCCAGTCTCTAACATATATGAAAGCCATCAGACGCCTCTCCAATTTAAAAACACTTGCTATTCAGAAATGCCCTGAGTTGAGAGGAAGATGTGCCAAAAAAAGTGGTTCAGAGTGGAACAACATTTCTCACATTCCACGTATCTCAATAGATTGGAGCATAATTTCTCACAGATAGATGATGATGATGCGTGAATTGAATTTGAAGAAAGACGACAGGTATCTTTATCCTTTATGTGCATTTCCTTTTAATCCTTCCTTCTCTGATTAAATTAAAACTTTTAATTATGTCTTTGGCTTTTCTTTTGTCAATCTCCTATGTGAATAGCATCTAAAACCAAGTTATTTATCATTTCAAATCCAAAATTGAGGCTTCTTCTTCATAATTTCTTTACCGGCAATGGCAATGCAAATTCGAGTTTAAAAAATGTTGAATTAATTGGCAAATTCAAATGCTAGCTTTATTAACATTTTAAGTTATATTTTGTGCAACTGAGATGTTGGTACTTTGTATATCATTATTTTTTTTTCTTTTTCATTTTCCAGAGGGAGGATGATGATGAGTGAGAAAGACAATTAACCGCAAGGAAGAGACCCTTGTTTTGTTGCAAAACCTAATACGCTTTACAGGTCTCTCATTCTGCATTAGATTATTTCTTTTTCTCATTTTTGTTTGTTTGTTTGATTTTTTTTTTTTAATTTACTTTTCAGAAATTCTTGTTGTTTGGTGTTGTTATTGTAAGAACCTTGTAAAACTCTCTTTGATACAGTGGAGCTATTTCTAATGGACCAGAGGTCCTGTGGTTTTTACTCTTCTATTTGAAGAGGTTTTCCACGTAAAAATTAATTGTCTCATATGTGTATCTGATTTCCTTGTCTTTATTGCTCGTCTGAATGCTTACCGTCTCATCTACATTTCTGGCTAAGAAAGTGTTAATTTTGCTTCTGCTTTGATTTTGTGCCACTGTTTCTTCTCAAAAGAAGTTCATATAAACCAGCAACTTAAATACGATCATACCTGAAAAAAAGAAAAAAAGAAAAAAAAGGACAATCATACCAAATAGTTTGATGTATTTTAGGGGGACGAGGGTTTTGTAATTGCACCAAACCCGAAGTCCTTCTCCAGTCCGCGCTTGCACTTCGGAATGACCTGCAAACCCCCGAGGTGGAACTCGGGGTAGACACTCCGATGCTTAAGTCAGCAATAATCGGGGCTACCTTTAGGGCGGAGATAAGAAAAGCTTAAGGTTGGTTTTCAATCACCTTTTTGACGTGGCCCGGGGGGGTATTTATAGGATCCAATGAGGAACCCACGTGGCATGCCAAGCAAGATAATCGGAGCCTGACGTGTCTATCCAAACGATTATTCTGGGACCGGGAATTTGAGAGGTATTCAGGTGCACGAGCGTCCACCATATCTGCTGTGCCACTCATCATGAGGAATCAGGTGCAAGCATGCTTATTGTTGTTATCATACAGCTATTTGAGCGGGAAGCTTTAGATTCATTCCTCACTT